GTGCCGCGCCGTGCCGCGCCGAGCCGTGCGGGCGACCGCAGTCGCGGTGCGGCGCTCCCCGCCTCGGGCGCTGGCTGCAGGGTGGGTCTGTCAGCTCCTTCCTCTAGCTCCTCTCCAGCCCCATTCCAGCCCCTCTTCTCTCGCTACGGGTCTCCCGGGGCAGCCGCTTTACTTTTCCGAGGCGACACTAAACCGGGTCACTGTCGCTCGTGTTGGGCTTAGAGTCGGTGGGCGTAAATACCCACGCTGACTGGGTGGGCTCGGCGCGTGTGCGCACACTGCTCCGGCTCTGGGGTCTGCAGTGAGACTTGAGCCCCGGGAAAATTTTGCTGCTTGCAGATCGCGTAAAACCCGGGACACGGGCGTCAGGTCTGTCTCGCCAGCGGGTGAGAACCTGCAAACCACCTTTCAGTGCGAGGCAGCTAGGCGGGGACGGGGGGCAGGGCGGCGGCGCAGGTGGCTACCTGGCCTGCGGGCAGGGGAGATATGGCGGGACGTGCTACGCGGGGTGGGCTGCGGCAAGCGAGGCGCACCGCCTGGATCGCTGTAGCTGCGAGCCACAGGCGGGCGAACCACGCACGATGCACTCATTAAGTCTAACGCATCTCTTTTAGAAGGAGGAGACCATGTCCACAATGCAGCGAGCATTGCCCCCACATCTGCCATCCGCGATGCCGCGCTGTGCGCAGTAAAGCTGAAAAAGTACGACCCTAGGTAACGTTTGGGGGCCTCCGAAGGCGTAACCTCTCAGCTCTGTGGGTCTACACACTTCCAAAAGCCAACACTGAACTTTGGTTCAAACTTTGGCCAACTATACCCACGCACAACAGCTCAGCGACTTGGGCATCCACTGAATGGGCCAACTGGGTCGCATCAGTCAACTTCTTCCCCTCCGACCCCAGCGCTGGGTCAGCCATTGGGCTGGGGTCACGCCAATCAAGGCTGCCTGGCGAATGAACAGGGGGCATTGGACCGGAAACCGGATATGAGTGGGAGGTCCAATAGGGGGCGCCGCGTTGGAACGCCCTAAGAGGTTGTGCTGCTGGGGTGGTTGGAAGCGGTCGGTGGGCGGGCGTATGGCGGCCAAGCCTGGGACACCACGAGGCCGGCTGGCGCCGTGGAGTCACTCTTCCTGACTCTAAAACTCACAAAGGCTGGAAGGGATGGTCGGGGGCGCTCAGGGGCCAGCCCTTGGTCTCACCGATGGCGGTGGGCAAACGCCCAATACGGAGGACCGCCGCTGGGGCGAGGAGGATGATTTTCAGGGCGTAGGAGGAGAGGGCTCACTGCCCCGATGCAGAGCAGCAGCCCCAGATGGATAAGGAGTTGAGGCCCCAGGGATGCTGAGCTCTACCGAGTGGAAGGTCAGTAGACGTGGGGTTGGAGCGATGGGGACCCCAAAGGGACGGTTTGCTCTCGCCAGGCCTCAGTGCGCAGCCCATCCCGCTGGGGCTCTTGCCCAAAGCATTCACCAAAGAATGGGTCCTTGGCCTCTTTGTTCGACGTCCTCGTGGGCCTGTGGGACCCTTTTGTCCAACACTCTGGTACCTTGGTTCTTTGCCAGGAAAGCACGTGGACCAAGGGAGTAAGTAAAGTCTACACGGATACCCATCCTCCATTCTAAAGGATGAACAACATAGAAATGAAAGAGAAGACTTCTCACTGGGGGGGCCTTGAAAGTCCTGATGGAGAAAATGGCATTTCGCATGGGCCTCCACGGAGTGATGGAGGGCTTGGCTGTGGATAGGAGGCGGGGACTGGGAGGCGTCGGCTTACCAGGAAGGAAGATGGCAGGGCACATGGCGCATGGCTGGGTAAAGTCGACAGGCCACCATGTGGGGTCTGGGAGGATGAATGGGAGAGAAAGGCAGGAACAGTTGGGTGGGATGTCTCCAAGGGTACCACGGCATGGGAGGGCCAGCAGTTTCGAGGCCATCCGGGCATGCAGTGGAGGTGCTGATGGTTTTTCTGTCCTGTGGGTGAGGATTCGAGGCGAGTTTTAGAAGAGGTTAAGGCAGTGTGGAGAGCTGTCCCAACCTTCTAGGGAGGGGGGATCACACATGGGAAAGGAAGCAGGAAGGCCAGAGGGAGGGACTCAAGGGATCCCAAAGGACCCTCAAGCAACTTTTGTGCTAAAATGGCACATAAGGTGGAGGAGCCGAAGTCTGGTGCCTGGACGTGGGACACGAGTGGGAAAGGGAAGTTGGGGGGGCCGGGGGAGCAGCCAGTTGGGTTTCAGACACGGCAGAAAGGATGAGTAGTCTGGATGGGGATTCTCACAGCCAGTAATTTAGGAGGATTAGTCATCTGAGCTTAGAAGAATGAGTTAAGACTTCGGAGTGACAGTCATCCTTATTATGATACGGAATTGCTAGAACAGAAATACTTTCAAGGGGAGAGATTTATTTGGTGGCGGAATCTCAAATGTCCTGGAGAGGAGAGAGGGAGACGGTGCGGGACAGAGCAGCGAGGCTGGGAGGGGCCCGCTGGGCGCGTGCCAGACGGCGGGAGCCCAGCGCTGGTCAGCACATCAGACAGAGTTCTCTCAGCCTCTGCACTGCTGACATTGGGGGCCAGGTGATTCTTTGTCGTGGGGACTGTCCTGTGCACTGTAGGATGCTTAGTCGCTTCCCTAGCTTCTACCCACTAGATGCCAGTAGCATCCCCTTAGTCGTAGCAACCAAAAATGTCTCTAGACTTTGCCAGATGTCCTCTGGGGGGCAAAATCGCCCCCTGGTTGAAGACACTGCTATAGGCTGAGAAAGGACCCTTAGACTTGAGTAGGGATCACCTTAATTTAAAGGTAAATTAGGACCAGGAAGGAAATATCTCAGTGTCTCACTCTGACGGTCCCCCTGTTATTTTTCTGTAGTGACTGGGCCACCAGAATCTGAAAACCCAAAATCGCTTGAGTGCATGGAGTTCAGAGCTGAAGCTGTGCACGGATCCGCGGTGGGACCCGAGAGACCCCACGAGTGGCCAGACGTCTGAGGAGCTGACTGCCCCTCAGGCAGCCGGGCAGCCAGGCCGCCGGGACCAGAGGGACCCGGTCAGGTACGAGCTGGGGCGAACAGCTGCTGGGTTGACTGGGGGCCACTGATCGATGGCACTGTCTGGCGAGCCCGCTCAGGGCTAGTGATCTTGTGGGCTTAGGACAGACACGTGGCCATGCCTTGGCTGGACGTGGCTGGTGCTAGATGGTAGTGGGCAGCCTCGTCTGGGCCTGATCCTACCAGGACCATTGTTTTTAGGGCCTGTTGTAATTTTATAATAGCAAAGTATCTTAAGCATCGATTTCCATTCTGGATGT